AACAGATTTATTTATATGAACCCCCAGGTCAGGTCTCCTTGTTCCTTCACCCCTTTTAAGATTCTACCATCTAGCTTATATTGCTTCTCCTCATTCTTCCTCCCAAAATGCATTCTGCATTTCTCCACATTAAACATCGTTCCTAAGAACTAGATCTAGCACTGCTTCTTTCCTTGTTGGGCTAGAAACATACTGATCCAGAAAGTTATCCTGCACACATTTTAGGAATCCTTCTCCCTCCTTGGCCTTTACACTCCTGTGCCAGTTTATAATAATAATAATAATCCTTGCATTTGATATAGCGCTTTTCACGTCGAGAGGACGTCCCAAAGCGCTTCACAGAAGCCACTGTAAAGTGAATTGACTGCATATTTGTGGGCGAACGCGGCAGCCAATTGCGCACAGCAATGTCCCACAAACAGTCGTAGATTGAAAATGACCAATTTAGTATTATTTTTGGTTTTGGAGGGATTACTAGTAGGTGTGTGGTGTAAGGAAACTTGTCCAAGTTATGTTAGGATAATTGAAGTCCCCCATTATCACAGCTCTATTGGTTTTGCATCTTTCTGAAATCTGCTTGCAGATTTGCTCGTCTATCTCCTTCCCACTATTTGGTGGTCTATAGTATGCACCTAACAGAGTAACAGCTCCTTAACTTTAACCAAATAGATTCTGTTTTTGGACTCTCTAGCACATCGTCCCTTTCCAGGGCTGTAACCGTGTCTTAAATTATTTTGCCACCTCACCTCCTTTTTTTCCTTCCCGATCCCTCCTGAATACATTGTAGCCTGGATTATTCAGTTCCAATTCCTGCCCTTGTTTGAGCCAGGTCTCCGTTATTATCATTACATTCTAACCCCATTTGGCAACTTGAGCTGCAGCTAATCTTATTTGTCACTCCGAGCATTTACGCGCATGCACTCCAACGCGGATTGAGTCTGCTCTGCATTTCTCCCCCGAATAATCCCTCATTTTTCTGGACTACTCCTTATTGCATTGCTATTTGTCTCTCCCAGCCCTGTATGTAACTTGCATCTCCTCCCTGAAGCTACATCCTGATTCCCTTCCCCCCCTCAAAATTAGTTTAAACCCTTCCCCACAGCACTAGTTAACCTCCCTGTTGGTCCCAGCCCTGTTCAGGTGTAACCCATCCATCTTGTACGTGTCCCACCTGCCCCAGAACTGGTCCCAATGCTCCAGGACCCGAACCCCTCTTTCTGCACCATTTCTCCAGGCATACAGCAGTGTTTGATTCTGTTGTTTTGATACTCACTTGCCCAAGGCACTGGCAGTAATCCAGAGATCACCACCTTTGAGGTCCTACTCTTTAGCTTTTTCTCGAGCTTTTGATACTCTCGCAGTAGGATCTAAGCCCTTTTTTCCCTATGTCATGGATCCTAACATGGACCATGAATTCTGGATGTTCCCCTTCCCCCCGTAGAATGTTTTGTACCCGTTCTGTGATGTCTTCAACCCTGGCACAATATGTGAGAGTCACGTTTTTGGTTGCAGAAATGTCTGTCTACTCCTTTCACCGTTGTGTCCCCAATGACAATTGCATTGACACTCTTCCCTGTGTCCCCCTGTGCATCCATTTGCTTTTGACTCCTCTCCCCAGAGTCATCACCCTGACCAGTATTCAGTACAGAGAACTGGTTTGAGAGTGCCACACTCTCAGGGGATTTCTGCACTGCCCGTCCCCTCTTCCTACCATGCTGGTGATCACCCACTCACTCTCCTCATGAACCCTCTGTGGCTGAGGGGTGACCACCTCCTGAACCGTTCGATCCATGAACTCTTCAGCCTCCTGTATGCTATGTAGTGACACCAGCCTCTCCTCGAGCTCAGAAACCCTGGAGTTCCCACATAGCACACATTTTGCATGCAACTGGTCTCAGCTGCCCTGCCATACTCCCCCTCTCACCAAATTCCTTAACAGAATTCTCACTGTTCCACCTCACTCAAACAAAAGCACCAAGTTTCGTTGGGTCAGCAAATTTGTTAATCTCCAACACCAGGTCTATGATTAACTGCTAATTGACTTGTTTGCCTGCTTACATGGCTGCCTCTATCTCAAGAAAGATTTCCCACTCTTCTGCTGAAGTTTTCTCTTCCTCTCTGGTATCTCTCTTGCTGAAGAATTCCCACTCTCACCAAATTCCTTAACAGAATTTTCACTCTGTTCCACCTCACTCAGTTCCAACCTCACGCAGCTGGGCTCTCCCTGCTCTGATAAGATTATTTATTATATTATTATTAATATAGCACATTTCACATTGAGAGGATGCCCCAAGGACCCTAACAATACCATCACAGTACCTGAGCTGGGGGGTGGAAACTGAGAGTATTTATAAATACATGGGAATGGGGGTAGGCTTTTCGGCCCATCGAGCCTATCTAACCATTTTCCAAGAAAGAAGATAGCTTGAGCGTCTTTTTTAAATTTCTTTGTATCTGGTTTTGACTTTTAAGATTTTGGTTACCCTACGGTTTCTTTGCCTAAAAAGAGTGACTTACTGTAATATATAGTTTCATATGTACTTCAGGACTTCAGCACCTGTCTGTTCCTCACAAAAGTCGAAATTGCAACTGTCAACAAAGTATTTATTGATGGAAGGCATCACAACTCAGTCCAATCTTGTCCTCACCAGACATGCACACCTGCTCATTCAAGTAAGGTTCACTGATGAATAAAATCAGAAACTTAGCTGATGTTTCTTATTTGGTCTGGGATCATTGAATTCAATTTCGCTGCCCAACTGAGATCAGCAAACGCAGGGCAAACCAAGGACCGGAACTGGGACTTTATTTGCCTACATTCTGTTTATCTGTACATCACAGAGCACTCGCCAACTAATCCAACAGAATACAAACACTGAAAAGAATGCATTTGAAACTTTCTTTTTCTTTTAAAAAGAGCAACTCTTCTTCTGCCATAAGTATGAATTAAAGACACTTTTCAGCACCGAGACTTTTTTTTATCGTTTCCAATAAAAGACCAACTGAAATCAATTTTTAATCCATATTGTCATTATTGCCAATATTATAATAATCCATGCACTTGATATAGCACTTTATCACATCTTCGCAACCTCTCACAGAATATACTGCAAAGTGTATTGATTGTACATCTTGTGGGTGAAACACAGCAGCGAATTGTGCACAGCAGTATCGCACAACAGTTGTGTATTGAGTGATCATTTTTTTTAAGGCATTATTACCACCGGAAAAAAGGTCTGCCAATCAACTAACAACCGAGTTGTTACTTGCTGCTATTTAAACGGGCACGTGGAGTAAGCAAACTTGCCCAACATTTTGCCCTGTCTAGGAATTGAACCCAGATCCTCTCGCTTGCAAGGCTAACTACTAAACTATTCAACATTTGAAATTCACATCAAAACGTAAGGCTGGTTTCTTTGGCAGAGCTTTCAGTTCCAGCTTTATACCATTTTACTGCGGGCAAATATCTCAAACAGCGTTTAAATAAAAAAAAATCTCAGTGCTGAAAAGTGTCTTTAATTCATATTATGGCTCAGTCCATACCGAACAGCAAAAGATGTCCCTACAGCTAAGGAATGTTGTGCAATTGTGGCAAAAATATGGCAGACAGCTAAAATAAAGTAATGTAGAAACCTGAATATCTGCCAAATAACTTATTTGTGCATTTCGATTCTCATTTTACTTTAATTTCTCATGTACATTTAATTCCTGGTTTGAAGAGACATAATGTTCACTCTTATGCTGGCAATGCTTTCCCCTCGATTTGAAGAGGGCAATTTGCAAAACAGTTTCACATTATGTTAAGTGCTACCATGATTTACAGTATTTTAACAAATTTCCACCATCACATGATTTTATATTAAAAAACACCTTTACCAATTACTCTTCTCACACACACGTCAAAGTAAAACATGACAGCAGAAACATCTTTTAATAAAGTTTACTTCAACAGGGAAAATATTTCGATTCGCTTTACTAAAGTGGTCACCTCAAATCTAAACATATTTAGCAGAGGGAGTTAATATAATGTCCTAAGACGACAGAACGCCCAGGAAAACACGGCTGTAAACCTTGGACAATGTATTGCTAGAAAAAAGAGGCGTGGTCCAAATTAAAGCTTTTTAGCTCCCACTTTCTTACAAACTGCACAACCAGTGAAATCAGATCAAACGCTTCAGCAGTTTGACAATACCAACACCTCTGCCGATTACAAAATGTCCAACTTGACGGGCAACCCCTGGGCTGTGTTTTCCACCCTCGCACACACCCCATCGACTTCCTGGTAAACACGCACCACGTGTAATTAGACGTAAAAGTATTTACCTGAAATACAAACGGACCAGAAAACGAAACAAACCAACAAACCGGCCTGTCCTTTCCCATCACCCACCACCTTTGGAAACGCTGTCAAGCTCATTTCGTCCTTTTAAAAGATCACCAGCGAAAGGGAGCATAACAACGCTGTCCCATGTGTTTACATGACATTAAAGGTTGGGGTGGGCGGGTTCTCTCGTCCCTATCGGGCGGTCGCCCGCCCAAGCCAGGCCGCACCCGTCAGAGGGGTCCCTGCCGCCCGTTCACCCCTGCCCTTCGAGGTCGGGGAGTGACGGGAGGCGCTGCCAGCAGGGCCCGCGGCGAGGGCCGTGGCCTGACATTACTCCTGTCGGCCTGGTTTCTAACATGGCGACCAACACAAACAAACCCGCCCGCCGTGGGCGGGAACAGCGCGAGCGCACGGGGCGGCCCCGCTGCTCCCGCCCCTCCCTGTGCCCGGCGCTCATTGGTCGACCGCCTCGAGCCGCGGCAGGACGTGGGGTCTGATTGGCGGAGGGAGCTGTCAATCAGGTGACACCCGGCGGGCTGCCCGTCCTCTCCCCCCCCCCGCGCTCTCTCTCGCTCGGGCTACTTGGAGCCGCGGAGGAGGTAACAGTCAAAGGCCTCGTCAACACCGCGCACAAACACACCCACAGCGCCTCAACCCCAACCTTCCCACTGCTCACCTGCCGGTGTCCTGAAGGTTGCTTTGCTGTCGGCCGGGCAGAGGCGCCTTGTCGTGCAATCGGGGGCTCGCGGGCGGACGGGCAGTTGGACGGTCGCTGCTCGCGCTGCAGTTTGTTGATATCTTCCTGACGGGTTCTTGGAAAGCGCGTGACTCGGCTGAGGGACAGGCCGAGCGGCCAATGGCTGCGCCGCCCCCACACCGACCAATCAAACGTAGGATGACGGGTCAACGCCCACTATTCGTCCCTCCCCTCCTCCGAACCCGACATCCCTTCTGCCCTATTGCTGTACCTCCTCTCTCTCTCTCCGACTACATCCTTCTTCCTTTCTCCTACTCTCTACCTTTCCTTTCTAACCCGTCCTCCAAACCCTCCTCTCCATCCTCCACCTCCGTTTGCCCCTCTCCCGCCCTATACCCCCTCTCCTCGCTGCTGCCCTTATATTTTTGTATTTACATACTCTCCGGACCTCTACCCCTCTTTCTAACCTCCTCCTCCCCTCTCCCCTCCTCTCTCCTTCTCCCTCTCTCTCCCCCTCTCCCTTCCTCCTCCCCCCTCTCCCTACCCCTCCTCTCCTCTCTCCTTCTCCCCCTCTCCTCCTCCCCTCTCCTCCCCTCTCCCCTCTCCCCCCCTCCTCCCCTCTCCCTCTCTCCCCCTCCTCCCCTCTCCCCCGGGGTCACCATATTTTGTTAATCAAATCCGAGGACACGCGTAAAAAAAGGAACTCACCACAATATGTGATGCAGTGCTGGAGAAGCAGTTGTTATTATTATTGCTCAGTTTGTTGATGAACTCGAGGCAGAACACAGGACCTCAGTATTGTGTCCCGGGGACATAATACCTCATTCAGGGACTGTATCCGAGAATTGGGGCTGTATGGTTACCTGCTCTCCCTTCTGTCCCCTCGCTCGCTCTTCTTCCTCTCCCCCTCCCCCCAAAAAAAATCCAGCTGCAAAACTATGATATATTTAGGACAATCTTTCTCTCCACCTGTCCCCTCTCCCCTCTCTTCCTGAGACTGAGCTGCAGAAACTAAGATGTATTCAGGATATTCACTGTGCTGCCTTGGTAGTAGAGAAATCAATGCACCATTATTTTAATGGTTGATGCAGAATCGATAATAACTTTCAAAAGGGAAATTCACAAATGCAGTATTTCAAAAAGAGCAATATTAAAGGTGAGGGGTCAGTTGGGTCGCTTTCAGCCACACACATAATATGCCAAATGGCCATGATTCAGTAAAAGCTTCTATGCAAATATTGTGCACAAGAACAGGATGAGAAGTTCTGCAACGTGTAACATGGAGCAGTGCAAGTACACTATTTTTTGTTTTAACCCCTTAGCTGGACATTAACACATCCAGTTCTTTCAGAAAATCTCTTTGATTATCATTTCATCAGGTAGCAGGAAAGAGCTCACCATTCACGCCACCTTCGGCGATTGGCGGATCACTTTCCGGGGTAATAATGGCTTAAAATTTTTTTTTAATTTGGTCACTCAATCCAGGACTGTGTTTTGCCCACAAAATACAGGCGATTCGTTTTAAGTATATTCTGTGAAGCACTTTGAGATGTCTAAACGACATGATAAGGCGCTATATCAAATGCAAGCATTATTATATCCATGCATTGAGGAGAAATATAAAAATTAGCATTGGAATGCATCATTACATTATTTGCCAGGAAACAACAATATGAGACACACTGGCTTCAAAACCAATACAAGCCAAAGCAAATTACTATTCTAAAATGGGGAATTCAATGTTTTTAATATTGTTTACCTGAATGGATTCTGAAGGTTAAACATAGGCAACATAATGTTTTGTTAAAATTGAGACTGGAGGCAAAGAGCCAACATCATAGAAAATGAAATAAGTTAAGAAAAAATTATTCGGTCATGTAGAACAATAATAATAATGCTTGTATTTTATATAGCGCCTTATCATGTCGTTGAGATGTCTCAATCCACTTCATGGATTGTAAAGTGAATTAACTGTACTTTATTTGGAACTCAGGAGAAACAAGAGAAATTCAGGAGCCTTGCCCATTGTGTTAGCGATAAACAACAACAATAATAAAAACAGGAAAACTTGGAATAGCAAAATCGATAAACAACAACAATAATAAAAACAGGAAAACTTGGAATAGCAAGAGGGGATGAAGGCCAGGGATAAGGGAAGAACACCTATCATCTCACAAACTTTGTCTTAGTTTCTTGTCAAAGTGGAAGAGATGTGCTGCAAGAGTCAAATGTTAAAGGTGAATCAATCTCACATCACATTTGGTAGCAGACTTATCTCCAATTATAGCATTCCCTCCATGACTGTTTGTGGGATACAGCTGTGGCTGCCTTGTTTCACCCCCAAAATACACAGTCAATTCATTTTGCAATATATTCTGTGAAGCACTTTGAGACATCTCAAATACATGATAAGGCGCGATATCAAATGCAAGGATTATTATTATTATTTAACCATAGATAATAGAAATTTACAGTACAAAAGGAGGCCATTCAGCCTATCATGCCTGTGCTGGCCCTCTGACAGACATTCACTCATTGTTTTACCGCAACAGCATCATTTGTGGGACACTACAATGCACAAATGGGCTGCTAGATTTGCCTACAAATACAATAATTGTATTATAAATTACAATAAATCCTGTGAAGCACTTGAACCGTCCTACTGACATGAAAAGTGCTATGTCAAATGCAAGAATCATTATTATTAATAACCCAGTTCCATGGTTCCCAAGTGCATAATGAAGTATATTTATGCATCATCCCATCATACTACCATCCTGTTCCTTAAATGAAACTTTCAGTAAACTCCAATAAATAGCAGCCAGCAAAAAAAAAAGCACAATTTCAGCAATCCTGATTCTCTGGATGCCTTATTAGACACTGGGAGGCACTTGATTCAGCACAGTGAATTCTGAACCTGTGCCAAAACCTGTATCAGCAAACTGTAGGGTGGAATAGCTTCAGTCACTACTTTGTCTCCTGCTCCATTTTCGGGCTAATTGATTGACCACTGCATTTTTGCAACTGTTTACACAGTTACAGAGTGATACAGCACAGAAACAGGGCATTCGGCCAACGAATCCATGCCAGTGTTTATACTCTACATCCCACTCCCCTCACCCATCAGTAGAATATTTGCATGTTATTATTTTTCAATCAATTTCTCTTACCTTTCTGTGATTTCTCCTCATAATAATAATCCTTGCATTTGCACTTTAACACATCATTGACATGCCTCAAAGAATATATATAAAGTGGACTGACTGTGTATTTTGTTTGCAAAACGCAGCAGCCAATTGCGCACAGCAGTGCCTCAAATAATCGTGGATTGAATAACATTTTTTTTGAGGGATTATTAACCCCAGAAAACAATCCATCAATTGATTAACAACCAGGTTCCTACTTATTGCTAGGTAAACAGAGGCATGTGGAGTAAGGAAACTTGCCTAAAATTTCGCCCCGGCTGGGAATCAGGTCTTTACGAGTGCGCTAACCAAGACACTACAGGACTCCACCTCACTTCTCTCTAACTTTCTGAACAATCTCAAAACGCTGAACAATCAAGAAGGCTTGATTTCAGTCATGGCCTCATGTCAAAAAAAAAAACAACCAGACCAAGAGGGTACTAGGTTAAGAGCCCATTCTCAGCTGAGTTAGCTAATCTAATGAAAATGTGTAGAAGGGTTGTCAGCGTCTTTGGGGCTAGGAAAAGGAAACATCAGCTTTGAATTCTGTTGCTGATTGTTATTCAGTGACCTTTACTGGAAAGTGAGCATGTGGGAATGCAAAGTGAAGACAGGATTGATTTAGGCAGTGATGGCACCCACTGTCAAACAGCCAAAATTTGAGCTCACACATCAAGAATGGCCACACTGAGATAAGGTACCAGATTCGTGGAACCATAACCCAGCATGTTTAGGCACTTCAAAAGAGGAGAGCCAAAATTGCTACAATTGAATAAGGCAGATCTTAAATTTGAGACTCATTAGATAATCCTGAACAATCTCTTTGTGATTTTAGTAATATCTTGAGATTTGGAGCAACCAGCAAATTAGTTCAGCCTCCATGTATTTTCTCATAGAATATCTCCAATAGGTTTCCAAATACCAGGAATATTTTTCATTCACAAGCCAGATCTTCAGAGGTAGAAGAGATTAAAATGACTCTCCTTTCCCTTCTTCCATCTCAAGCACTTGGGTTTTTCTTTGATGGTACATGGAAGGAATTCTTTTGCAAATTCATAATCGTAAACATGTGTCCGATCATTCTGTGTACAATGTATTGCCGTCGCTCGTAGATTTATAGGCTAAGGAGGGAAACATTCATTCAATGAAGCTGCAGGAAAGCCAATGCATCATATTAGTTTGTGAAGAATTAATGATGATTGGCTGTAAAGTCGAAATTCTCTTGATCCTCTTCCTATTCCAAACATTTGCCAATCAGCTTCTATTTCCAACTGCTAGATTCATACAAATGTGTCAGTATAGCACATCCTTCAATTGCCTCCCCTCCCCCTCGCAATATTTCATCAACGGCTGAGGTGAAACAATGAGTAAGGGCCAAGATTTCAGGTTTTTTGCTGATGTCAAATAAAACTAGACAGAACAAGAGTATGCCTCCCCAGCTCCTCCCTCCACGGGCTGCGGATCATTCAGAACTCTGCAGCCCATGTCCTCTCCCGCACTAGGCTCCACAACCCTATCACCCCCATCCTTGCCCAACTCCACTGGCTTATAATAATAATAATGGCTTCCCATCACACAGAGAATACAGTTCAAGATCCTGGTCCTCACCTTCAAAGCCCTCCACGGTCTTGCTCCCCTCAACCTCTGCGATCTCCTAACCCCCTACCACCGTTTGCTCCTTCCGCTCAGGGGGCTCTGGTCTGCTTCACTTCCCCTGCCTTGCTCGCCCCACTATCAGCAAGTGGGCCTTCCGCCACTCTGCACCCACCCTCTGGAACTCCATCTTGCAGTACCTCCGTCTCGCCCCCTCCCTCACCACCTTCAAGACCCACCTCAACACCCTCCTCTTCGACCGTGCTTTTGATCTCCCTGCTTCCCCCACTGCCCACCCCCGTCCCGACCCTCAGCTGTCCAGCATAACTCTGGCTGTCCAGTGCCTTGTCGTCCTCCTGATGTGAAAGGTGCTATACAAATGTAATTTTATTGTTGTTGTCATTATGCAGGATGCTCTGAAACTTGGATTCCTAAAAAGCAAAATTGGCATTATACTCATTAAAGAGATGTGGGCACAGTCAAGAACATACTAAACGTAGGTGTTCAATTCCTATGCCAGTTGAAACTTGTGAAACACATATTAATAATAATAATCCTTGCATTTGATGTAGCGCGTTATCACGTCTTTGTGATATCTCAAAGCGCTTTGCAGAATATGCTGTAAAGTGAACTGACTGTATATTTTGTGGGCAGCCAATTGCGACAGCCACATAGTCATGGATTGAAGTGACCAATTTTTTTTGAAGGATTATTATCCCCGGAAAAGCGATCCAACAATCGACTAACAACCGGGTTCCTACTTACTGCTAGGTAAACAGGTGTTGTGGAGTAAGGAAACTTGCCCAACATTTTGCCCTGCTGGGAATCGAACCCAGGTCTCTCGCTTAAGAGGCGAGCACTCTACCCACTGAGCTATAGGACTCCACACATTCCCCTTTATTAGAAAAGACATGACTGTTTGTGGGACATTGCTGTGCACAATTTTCTGCTGTGTTTCACCCACAAAATACAGTCAATCCACTTTACCCTTTATAATTATTGTGAGAAGGGTTTTGTACACAGTAATTTCCTTCCATTGTACAGTGATATTGATTCTGATCGAAACCAGATAACCATCATTAGGCACTAGTCAAAGACTTGAGGTTCTGATAACCTTTTGATGAACTATCAGAACAAGAAGCAATCAGAATGACAAAATAATCATGAAAATGAGCAGTCCCATCCTGCCTAATACTGGGTGTTGTTGGATGAATATCAGAACACAGCTTTTCAGCCATGAATTTCACAAAGAGTGCTGAGCAGTGAATGCACATTTTGTGGAATAATTCTAAGATTTCCTGCACTCTGGGACAAGTCAAAATACTGGGACAAGCTGGAAACTGCCAGAATGCAACACACAATTAGTCACTAGCAAGAGGAAGCTTTTAATTACCATTTTCATAGTTGAGCTAAAAGATATCTTAAAAAGTAAGAAGCATTAAAATGTGCAAGGCTTCACAATGGGTTTAACTACCCATAGGCCTAGGATGTCATAAGCCTAACAAGATGCTAAAAGTGTAAAACATGAAATATACAGACACATTTTGTTGAAATGAAGCTTAGATAACTCAAACTTTCAATATCTAAACCCATTAAACCTTCAGTGAGAACCTCAACTCCAGCATCCTGAGCAATACAAATCCTCGACTGTCCAGCCCCTTGGGATGTCCTCCCAAAGTGAAAGGAGCTATATAGATGTAATTTGTTATTGTTTACTGTGACAAAGAAAGTAAATACTGTAAATATCCAAATAGAAAGTACAACGAGATAGCTAGAAGTACATCCAGGTAGTTTTAATAATAATAATAGTCCTTGCATTTGATATAGCGCTTTTCACGTCGGGAGACGTCCCAAAGCGCTTCACAGAACACACTGTAAAGTGAATTGACTGTATATTTGTGGGCAAACGTGGCAGCCAATTGCACACAGCAATGTCCCACAAACAGTCGTAGATTGAAAATGACCAATTTATTATTGTTTTTGGTTTTGGAGGGATTATTATTTCTTATCGAAACGTTCAATTAACTGTCATAATTATCATTATAATATTATTATCCATTCTGCATTCCCCCACCTCTGCAACAGCCTGGCTCCGCTTCTGCCTTTCTCTCAGGCTGCCAAGCCCCTTCCTGCACCAAATTCCGTGAATCTATCAACCCCATTGTTGCACTGGTTACCATCAGAACATTCGGTTGTGTACATAGGAATAATGGAATTGTAGCACAGACTTATCCTGCTCATGGATCAACTTGATGTCACTCTTGCTTCTACGTCAGAAGGTTGTGAGTTCAATACTCCTGTTGGGACTTTGAGACGTCTAGAAGACGTGATAAGGCGCTATATCAAATGCAAAGATTGTTATTATATAATTTGCAGGCATTTGCTCACTGCTTATGGTATCATTTTAGCCCCACAATGAGATACTTTTGTGTCCATTGCAGTACACAACATTTTGGACCAGTTGAGCCACATAAGGTCAAACACTGCAGATTCTGCACTACTATATAATATAAACCAATACTGATCCAACATTTATCCAGATATAAGTTTTTTTTGTGGCAGCAACAGGTCCAACTGGTATATTTCCAATTTTTTAAAATTGCTTTGCATTTAGGATTTTCCCTCAATATTACGCCAATGCAAAAAAGCCCTTTATATAACAAATCCAACTAAGGAGAAAATCATTTTTTACGTTTCTGATATAACAACTTGCACTTACATAGCACCCTTCACTCAGGGTAGGGTCAGAGTGCTTAACAGTGGTGGAGCCTGACTACGAGCTGGCGGGGAGGGGTAGGTGCCATAAACACCATCAAAGAAGGTTTTCAGGTGGAACTTGAAAAGGGGGAGAGAAGGGGCAAGGCGGAGGGATTGAGGGAGAGTGTTCCAGTTTTGGCTTGTAGTGGCTGAAAGCATGACCTCCGATGGTGGGGTGGAGGATACCAGTCGAGCGGAGGCGTTGGGTGGTGGACTGGGGAGCGAGGAGGTCGGAGAGTAGGGAGGTGCTAGAGGGAAGGGATTTGAACACACTTGTGAGGATCTTGAAGTCAATCCATTTGGTGATGAGGAGCCAGTGGAGCCTGGCCAGAACTGGTGAGATGTGGATATGGAGTTTGGTCCAGGTCAGTATGCGGGCGGCAGAGTTTTTAAAGAGTTGGATCTTTTGAATAGTGGAGTTGGGGAGCCCAGCAAAGAGTGCGTTGGAGTAATCCAAGTGGCAGGTGACAAACGCATGCACGAGAGTTTCGGCTGCATTTGGGGTAAGGTATGATCGGAGGCGGGCAATGTGGCGGAGGTGAAAGAAAGTGGTCCTGCTCAGGGACTGGATGTGGGGGAGGAAGGACAGCTGGGGGTCGAACCGGATGCCTAGATTGCACACTGGCTCGGTGAGTGTGAGGGAGAGCCCAGGGAATTTGAGAAGTTTGGATCCGTAAGAGTGAAGACGTTGACGGGAACCAAGGCGTATGGGTTCTGTCTTGTCCACATTCAGCTGCAGGAAGTTGGGACTCATCTGCCAGACAAGCTGATAAAACATTGGCGGACATGGAGTTGGTACTGGTGGAAGCAAAGTAGATTTGTGTGTCGTCTGCATACATGTGGAAGTTCACCCCGTGTCTGCGGATGTCATCACCCAGAAGGAGCATATAGATAAGGAAAAGAAGAGGGCAAAGGATGGAGCTCTGTGGTACCCTGCGGGTGCAGGAGGAGAAACCATTTGCTGAGATGAAATGGAGGCGGTTGGTTAACTAGGACTGGAACCGTGCGAGTGTGGTCCCACTAAGGTGGATGAGGGAGGAGAGGTGGTGGAGGAGGATGGAGTGGTCGACTGTGTCAAACATGGCAGAGAGATCCAGGAGGACGAGGAGGCAGAGTGAGCCCTGGTCACAGATACAGAGGACGTTGTTTGTCAGTTTGACAAGCGCGGTCTCTGTGCTGTGGGCAGAGTGAAAACCTGTAGGGGCTCGAGGAGGGAGAGGTGTGACCAAAGTTGACCTACAACAATGCGTTCCAGAACTTTGGCAAGGAAAGGTAGGTTGGAGGTGGGATGGTAGTGTGAGATTAGAGGGATTGAGGGTGGGTTTTTGAGGACGGGGGTGATCACAGCGGTTTTCAGGGGGAGTGGAACAGAGCCTGAGTAGAGAGACTGGTTGACTGTGTCGGCCAGCAGGGGGGAGAGAAGGGGGAGTTGAGTAATCAGCAGCTAGGTGGGGAGGGGGTTGAGGCAGCAGGTGATGAACTTCATCTGGGTGATTGTGGTTGAGAGGGAGAAGGGGAAATGGGGGCAAAGGAGTGTAAGGAGGGGGGAGTAGCAGGAGCCGTGGTAGAGGGAGAAGGCAGTGTGGATAGTCTGGGTGGGGTGGAAGGGGACTGGGGGGTGAGGGGGAGAGAGAGAAAGCGGATAATGCAGCCAAGTGGATGTTATATGAAGATACAGTAATATATGAAGTTTATTTCTGTTTCTTTTCAGCTTCGTCAACCCTGATGAGATTCCTTCAGTCTAAGTCATATCAGCATTGCTTAATTACAGTAGCAAAGCCAAAATAATATGGTAAAGAATTATGTTTGATTAAACCAAATGGGGGGTAGAGCAAAAGAGGAGAATTTGTTGTGTAAAGATTATTGCAGGCAGATTGTAAACCACTCTTCTTTCGGAGATTAATCTGTACGAAATACTTGTGTGAAAAAAGTGCAATGGCTCAACAACCAACATAAGTTTTCACCAGCGACATTGGTTTATTATAGTGCAGATCAGGTTCGAGCTGAGTTTCATTAAGGCAAGATTTGCAAAAGCAGGATGGTGAGTTTCAATGTTCACATATTCATGTACACTGGGATATTTAAAGGCTAGGTTGGTACAAAAATAAGAACGGAACAGAAATACTGGTTGGAGATTGTACAAAAGCCACCATTTGTGATCAACAAGACATGTATATAATTTTGATGTGTATAATTTTTGCATAGTGGAAACATGGAACAAGAATTTCTCCAGTATAATTTTTTTGTATAAGAAAATCATTCAAAATTCACGACTGCCAAAGGCTATGAGAAATGCATTCGGAAATTCAAGTGAAAAGAGTCAGATATTTAAATTAGCACATTATATAACATAGTGTGGCATTTAAAATGATTCGTAGTTTCTGAAGGCGGTTTGGAAAAAGTTCTGGTTTTAGGAGGCATCTCGAAAGTGCAGAAAAACAAGTTGTGTCTGCAGTTTTTTGTAAAGCTATCTTCTTTCTCTGTAAAAGAAAAATAGGTTGCATCAAATGGAAAAGGCATCTGCATTTAAACTGAAAACAGCACATCACACTTTCGATGTTTTCATAATTCCTAATGTTCAGGCCAGGTTAATTCCAGATGCCAGCCTTCTCCGCAACAATCCCCATTGAAGCAAATTCATCTCGACTATCAAAACATAAGAAGACTGGCAATGCTTTGGATGAAGTTGCAATCACAACCACAACATTCTAACTGTTGCTAATGTGTCAGTCAAGTTGATGGAGAACAAGGGTAGCTTTTTTAAAAATAAGTAGTGAGAGATGGGTCAAATGAAAGAATCAGAACAAAGAATTCTGCTTGTAAAAGAGCGCCACAACACAGGGCTTCTTCCTATGTAGCAACAGGAACGCTCAATTTAAAGGGGTACTGCCCCGGGAAAAGTGTTGCACAAAATGGCGGAAAATACTAATTTGGAGATGGGTTTTAAAGTGAATGTAGAAATAAGTAACAGTCCAATTTGGAAATACAACAACAACTTGCATTTATATAGTTTCTTCATGCAGGATAGCGTCCTGGAGCACTCGACAGTGGCGGAGTCTGACTCCGAGCCAGAGGGAAAGGGTAGGTGTAAGCACGATCAAAAAGGAAGGTCTTTAGAGTTTCAGGGCGTAGTGGCTGAAGGCACGGCCAGCAATGGTGGAACGGAGCGTACGAGAGACAACAGGAGGCCAGAGCTGGCCGAGTGGAAGCATCGGGTGGTGGAGTGGGGAGGGAGGTGGGTGCAAGGGTATGAAAGGATTTGAAAAGGAGACGATCTTGAAATCGATCTGTTCGGTAATTGGGAGCCAGTGGAGTATGGTAGGACTGGTGTGATGGGGGTACGGAGTTTTGTGTGGCTGAGTATCCGGTTTTTAATTAGTATCTTAGTATCTTAGTATCTTAGTTTTTAATTAATTTAATTTTTTGTATGGTGGAGCTAGGGAGACCAGCAAGGAGGGCATTGGAATAATCCAGCTGGAAAGTGATGAAAGCGTGGTCGAGGGTTTCGGCTTGTTGGTTGTGAAGTAAGGACGGAGGCGAAGGTGGAAGAAAGTGGTCCTGGTCAGGGAATGGATGGATGAATAGAAAGGAAAGCTGGGAATCGAATATGACGCTTAAGTTGCGCAAGGTTTAGCGAGTCTGAGGGAGAGCTCGGGGAAGTTGAGGAGTTCAGACCCGCAGGAGAAGAGTTGACGGGAACCAAAGAGTATGGCTTCTGTCTTACCAATATTCAGCTTCAGAAAATTTGCGTTCTTCCAGGCTGTGATGTCATCAAACAAACTGACTGGACATCAGCAGACTGGGAGTCGCAGCTGCAAGAGAAGTAGAATTGTGTGTCATCTGCATGCATGTAGAAGTTGACCCCATGTCTGTAATGACATCGCCAAGAGGGAGCATGTAGATAAGGAAAAGAAGGGGGCCAAGGATGGAGCCTTGGGGTATCCCGCAGGGCGGGGGCGGGAGGACAAAACATTTTCCAAGATGTATTGTTGGCAGTTTGTTAAGTAGGACTCGAACCAAGGGGGTGCGGTCCCACTAAGGTGGACATGGAGGGCTTTGAAATCCTTAGGAAAAGCATTTTTTTTTCGATTTCAGGAAAAAGAATAACAAATTACATTTGTATAGTGACCTTTCACATTTGGGAGGAACTCCCATCGCACTGGACAGTCAATGATTTGGACCCAAACTGGGGGTTGAGATCAGGAGGGGTGGAGGGCAGGGGAATGAGGGTGACCAAAGGTGTGTTTGAAAAGGAGAGTCTTGAGATGGGCCTTGAAAGAGGCAAGGAAGGGACCAAGGCGAAGGGACTATGTCAGTTAGGACATCCTTGGGACAAATGTAACTTGTTTGTTGTTGAATTCCAAAGCGTGGGGGCAGAAAGCATGAAAGTCTGACAGTCGATGGTGGGATAGGCAAGACTGGAGACGTGGTGCAGGCCGGAGCCCACTAAGCAGAGGGAGCTGACAGATTGCCATGAAGTAAGGCCATGGAGGGCTTTGAATTCCAAAGACAACAATTTGGGGGGGCAATGAATTCCTTCAATTATACGAGTAGCCCACCTGCTATCCATGTATTAATGCAAGTCTATTGTTGAGAAAATAAGTAATACTATACTGACGTATGTTCTGTCTCTGAACCATTCTTTTTGTGTATCTTGATCTTTGTGATAACAAAATTGAATGCAAATAAAATGGAAGTGGATTGGAGCATTGTTTTATTTCAGTAATGTGTGATAACCTTTCTATTTGTTGACACTTTGTCCTCTTCTCTCCCCTCAATTTAAGATGCCACAAAGCATAATAAATATTTATAATACAAAAAGGACTTTCATTTCATTTTTCAATGGGCTCAGTCAAGGTATGAGGAGAATCCAGTACACATGAGGATAAGTGAAGTCAAGCAGTCCTCATTTTGTTCTCCACACTAATACCTGGTTTAACTAATTGGATGAATGCCAATAGATGCTACATCATCACAATGCCATTGAAAGCAAAACAAGGTAACATGGGCTGCTTTGGTGCAACAAAACTATCATGTTTTGGGCTGGATTTGAGCCTGGAGTCAGCCACTCGAAGGATGTTTACAGTCTTTAAATGACTGGCACAAATGGATGCAGGTTTGCTTCTGAGATTTGAGAGAATCTGGCCTGAAGCAATATTTGGCAGCAGGGGTCACAAAAGTTGATTAGCCTCCGGCCCCACTACCTCTATTTTGCTTTCTTGTACATTCCAAATTAAACGGGTTGGTGGGTGATCTAATCACATAGGAAATATGATTTATGGCATATTTATGTAGAACAGAAAGTAGTCCAGGTAACAATGGTAGTGTAAGCACAACGCTCCCCTTTTATCAGTACATTCACTTGCTTGGCACTTTTTGGTCTAAAACCTTAAGCTTTGGTGTCCAACTTTAGAGTTTGTATTTTTTCAATTTAAATACCTAAAAAGTTAGACAAGTTTTACCAAAGTATAAAAAGTATTCTTACACAATGGGCATGTTGCCAGCCCTGAAAACACTGCCAAGGCCATTACCTGAACCAATAGAAAAGTGCAGAAAACTTTGCTAAAATTGCGGGGAAGTTTATGAATTCTGCAGGGAATTGCGGGGGTGGAAAATGATTGGTGCTGTTGGGTGTTGGGAGTACATTTACTGCCAACCTACATTTTCTCACTTTATTGATAGAGACTAAACATAAGGAAATAACACATGTTAGATAGTTGCAAAAAAATATTAATTACTACTTTAACATAAACTGAGTAGCCCCTTTTTGGGGCGGGGGGGGGCTTGACACCAGCGAGGCTACAGGAGCTCACCGTCTCCTACCGCTTAAGGCAGCACTGCACACAGACCCAGAGAGAAACAAATACACACACAGACAGACACACATTCTCACTGACAGGGAGAGAGAAACACACTCAGACAGAAGAGAGACAAACACACACATTCATACAGAGACACTCAGAAACACACGCATATAGAAGAGACACACGCGGACACACTCACAAATATACACAGACACACACACAGGCGCACTCACAGACACACACACATACAGGTGCACTCACAGACACAAACAGGCGCACTCACAGACAAACACACACAGAGGTGCACTCACAGACAAACACACACAGAGGCGCACTCACAGACACACACACAGGCGCATTCAGACAGAGACACACAGGCGCACTCACAGACAGAGAGAGAGACACAGGCACACTCACAGACAGAGAGAGACACACAGGCGCACTCACAGACAGAGAGAGAGACACACACACAGACACTCACAAACAGAGAGAGAGACACACACACAGACACTCACAAACAGAGAGAGACACACACACAGACACTCACAAACAGAGAGAGAGACACACACACAGACACTCACAAACAGAGGGAGACACACACACAGACACTCGCAAACAGAGAGAGACACACACACACACAGACACTCACAAACAGAGAGAGACACACACACAAACACTCACAAACAGAGAGAGACACACACACACACACACACAGACACTCGCAAACAGAGAGAGACACACACACACACAGACACTCACAAACAGAGAAAGACACACACACAGACACTCACAAACAGAGAAAGACACACACACAGACACTCACAAACAGAGAGAGACACACACACAGACACTCACAAACAGAGAGAGACACACACACACACACAGACACTCAGAGACACACACACACAGACACTCAGAGACACACACACACAAACAGGGACACACACAGAAACTCACAAACAGACACACACAGACACTCACAAACAGACACACACACACACACACACTCACAAACAGAGAGGCACACACACACACAGACACTCACAAACAGAGAGACACACACATACACAGACACTCACAAACAGAGAGAGAGACACACACACAGATACTCACAGAGAGACACACACACACAGACACTCACAAACAGAGAGAGAGACACACACAGATACTCACAAACAGACACACACACACAGACAATCACAAACAGAGAGAGACACACACACACAGAGACACTCACAAACAGAGAGAGACACACACAGACACTCACAGAGAGACACACACACACAGACACTCACAGAGAGACACACACACAGACACTCACAGAGAGACACACACACAGAGACACACACACACACAGACACACACACACAGAGAGAGACAAACACACACAGACACTCACAAACAGAGAGAGACACACACACAAAGACACTCACAAACAGAGACACACACACAAAGACACTCACAAACAGAGAGAGACACACACACAAACACACACAAACAGAGAGACACACACACACAGACACTCACAAACAGAGAGAGACACACACACAGACACTCACAGAGACACACACACAGAGACACACACACACAGAGACACACACAAACAGAGAGAGAAACACACACACACAGACACTCACAAACAGACACTCACAAACAGACACACACACACACACACA